ATTGGATGCTAATGATATTTATCACAGTTGTCCTTGTTCTCAAGGTTGTATTCAAAACTCAACTCTTCAGTCTTTCATTGGTAATGAGTACTTCTGCGAATCTGGTATTTCTACCATTACATATCAATTCATACTCTATACATCTGATTGGGATGTGGTGGCTCTGAAAGTAATTGTTGTACATCTTGTCCTAGTCTTCCATGGTTTAATAAGGTACTAAATGCACTGCCACTACTGACTATCTTGAGCTGAGGGTGTGTGCAGACGAAACTACAGATAATGAAGATGTTCCTGTTAGCTTTTATGAGTTGTACATCAAATGATGAAAATATAATGATGAACAGTTTGTATTACATATTGTATGCATGTGTGAGGTTTTTATAGTTAGTTAGTTAGGTGTTAGTTTGAGTTGACTATACTTAAAAATTAATAATAATTGAAATTTAAATGATGGTATTTCAATTTGCACATGTACTTAAACAAAATGGTATGCCAATTGATAGTGCTAGTCTACTACTAAAACACCTGCACATTTTTGGTTGAAAATTTACTAGACTAGAGTACGTTCTTTGAATGTTTCCCATTACATACAGCATCATGTCTGACGTCATTAGTCAGGCTCTTCTGAATGTTATAAAAGGAGTGAGGAGTAAACAGTAAACAATCATTACAAAGAGGATAATAATGCTCTCTCTTCTTATACTAGCTATTGCTTGTCTCCCTCAGTTTATCAGTAGTTCTAATCTTGCTCTTACATTTGATGCTGCTAACAGTACCTGTACTGCAGCCTGTTCTACCTGCAGTGATACCAGTAATACTGATTCCAATCAATACAACACTGATGATGAACTATTGAATGAACTACTCAATATCACAAGGAACAATGGTCAAGATATTGAAGAGATAACACAAAAAATGGATGGTATCATTTCTTCTCTTTGTCATATCAAGGAGACTGCCACCTCTAACGCTGGAGCTATCAATGATATACTGCTACTAGTGAAAGACCTTATCATGTTACAAAATGACTCATCTTCCTTCTCTCCCATCCCTACTTCTTGTCAAGAGATTAAGAACAAACAACCAAACAGTCCTTCTGGTGTATACCTACTGGGAACTAATGATGGAACTCAATATGTTTACTGCAATATGGAGGAGCTGTGTGGTTCAGGAGGAGGATGGACAAGACTAGGATATCTGGATATGACTGATGCTACAGAGAACTGTCCTTCTGGGTTTAAACTGTACCAGTCAGGAGGAGTTAGAGCTTGCGGTAGAGCAACATCAAATGTAGGCAGTTGTGTATCAGTTCAGTTTCCATCTAATGGTATCAGTTATTCTCAAGTGTGTGGTAGAGTAGTGGGATATCAATATGCTTCAACTGATGCAGTTGATCCTACTATTGGTGGCCTCCAAAGTCACAATGATATTAATTCTTATTATGTTGATGGTGTTAGTATCACTCGTGGGTCTCCTCGTCAACATGTTTGGACACTAATGACTGGACTGCATGAAGCTGATATTTATGGTGATGGTCGTTACAATTGCCCTTGTTCTCAAGGTAGTCCTCAAAACTCAACCCTTCAGTCTTTCATTGGTAATGACTACTTCTGTGAATCTGGTAATCCTGCTACTGATGAAACACATCAATTCATACTCTATACATCTGATCCATTGTGGGATGGTAAAGGATGTGGTGTTCTTGAAAGTAATTGTTGCACATCTCGTCCTAGTCTTCCATGGTTCAATAAGGTACTAAACACTACCACTACTGACTACCTTGAGCTGAGGGTGTGTGCAGAACAAAGTAGCGATGATGAAGATGTTCCTGTTAGCTTTTATGAGCTGTACGTCAAATGATAAAAATGTACTAATGAACAGTTTGATTCATATTGTGTGTGTTGGTAGATAGTTAGTTGGTGATAGTAGACTAGTTGTAGTTAGTTTATAGTTGTTTTTGATTTTTGAGTAGTTGATTTGAAAATAATTTAAAAGTAATACATATGATGCAATAGAAGGCATTTCTTGTATAGGTAATTTTGAAAGTGTCAGTATTCTCACTTCAGTCTATTGATAAAACAAGGCATAATCTCAATTTTAAATTCAAACATTATAATAAAGACCTTTACAAAATAATATAAAAACCCAGAAAAAATTGATTATATACTGACTCTAAAGTTACTTAGCTCAAAATGTATAATCTAATTGATATTCTTGCTATACATGTTGGAATGAGTTGGGACAGCGAAAACTTCTAAAACAATAACCACTATACAGGCATAAGTACATGAATGACATATTTCTGTGTCATTAGTCAGGTTTCTTTAACAGCATTTTAACTAATGAAGAAACAATGAATATTTACTGTAATATGGAAGAGCTGCATACACTGTGGTTCAGAAGGAGGATGGACAAGACTAGCATATCTGGATATGACTGATGCTACAAGAACTGTCCTTCTGGGTTTAGACTGTACCATGCAGTCAGGAGGAGTTAGAGCTTGTGGTAAAGCAACATCAAGTGTAGGCAGGTGTTTATCAGTTTAGTTTCCATCTAATGGTATCAGTTACTCTCAAGTGTGTGGTAGAGTAGTGGGATATCAATATGCTTCAACTGATGCAGTTGTGCATACTATTGGTGGCCTTGAAAATCACAGTGATATTAATTATGTTAATGGTGATAGTATCACTCATAGGTCTCTTCGTCAACATGTCTGAACAACTTGAAAATGCTAATAGTATTTATAATTGTCCTTGTGCTCAAGGTAGTCCTCAAAACTCAATTCTTCAGTCTTTCATTGGTAATGACTACTTCTGTGAATCTCGTAATCCTGCTAATGGTACATATGATTTTGTACTCTATACATCTGATGCATTGTAGGATGGCAAAGGATGTGGTGGTCTTGAAGGCAATTGCTGTGCATCTCGTCCTAGTCTTCCATTGTTCAATAAGGTACTAAACACTACCACTAAGTACTGACTACCTTTAGCTGACTAAGCTGAGGGTGTGTGCAGATTAAAGTACAAATAATGAAGATGTTTCAGTTAGCTTCATAAGTTGTACATCAAATTATGAGAATATACTGATGAACAGTTTGATACATTATTGTTTGTTATGTGTGCCCAGTAAGTTAAGATGACACATTTGTGAGAGTATGACTAATGGTATACATGAAGTAGTGGTATGAGTGGTATGAAGAGTAGAGGAAGGAATTGAGTAGGCATGTATAATTAGACGTAATGTATATAGTAATGTAGTAGTACTCTTGGTGGAATGAAGGCAGTAAAAAGAAAATGAAGAACAAAAGATATCAAGGGTTGAGCATACAGTAGGAAGGTTTATACTCACACAGCAGGTCCACATATTACATATACAACTCCATAGCCACAAACCACATACATGTACATACACTTCTCATCCATATACATGTACATGTACCCATAGCAACAAGTTGTGAATTGTTGGCTTTGTTTTACTGATCTGCCAGTCTTTCTTAATGAGCTATTACAGGAAACAACTACAGTAATTATTAATGTAACAATAATAATAACAAATAAAATGTTATCAATTTAATAGTAGTGCAACAACAGAGGTTGTAGTAGATTGCAGAATACTGTCCCAAGCTACAGTGATGGTTTCATTAATATTCTTATGGTTAATGTTGTCAGTGTAAAGTACTGGGACTGAAGGATCTTATTATGTTTACTGACTGTACTAATAACACTGGACCATATCAACATGGTGGACTAGGCCTGTATCTAAGAGTATGCTGTAATATTAGTAACCTAGGACAGTCAGTTACTATCAGAGAACCTGGTATTCATAGATACATGCATTTTTTCTGTCCTAAAGTAATACCAAAGTCCTGTCCTAAGGAGCTACAAAAGTCAACAAAAGGTATGGACTGTAATTATATAAGTCATGGCAGAGTGCACACACAAGAGTTAGTTATCATGAAATAGGTGTTACATGTAGGTATTAATAGCATGTCAATACAGCATCTTCTTGGTAGAAATTGCTTTTGTGCTTTTTCTAGCTCTCTCCAAACACTCATAAAATACAATAACTATTATATTCCTCTATGCACTATAGCTCCTCGAGACTGTAAGGATTGGTACAATAATGGTAATACTACTAGTGGTGTTTATACTGTTAATCCTGATAGAGGAACTCCATTTACAGTTAGCCTTATACTAAAAGTAATGCTTTATAATTATACACTATTGGATCAGGTATACTGTGATATGGAGACTGCATGATGGTGGTGGATGGACTGTATTTCAGAGGAGACAAGATGGATCTGTTGATTTCTAGTGATACTGGACTGACTATGAGAATGGATTCGGTGACCTTACTGGTGAGTTTTGGTTAGGATTGAGCAAGATTCATCGTCTTACCAAAGAAGAATCAGTTACACTAAGAGTGGACCTGGGAGACATTGAGGGGAACATGAAATATGCTAGCTACTCTACATTTAATGCTAGTGATGGTAATACAAAATATATGCTAACAGTAGGAGAATATTCTGGTACTGCTGGGGATGGACTGATTACTGATCCTAAATATGGTTATAGTCACAGTGGAATGACATTCACTACAAGAGATAATGATAAT